GTGTTTTATTGACTATGCAAAAGCATTTGATTGTGTGGATCATAACAAATTGTGGATAACATTGAGAAAAATGGGAATTCCAGAACACTTAATTGTATTCATGAGGAACCTGTACATAGACCAAGAGGCCATTGTTGGGACAGAACAAAGGGACAGTGCATGATTTAAAATCAAGAAGGGAGTGCATCAGGGTTGTATCCTTTCACCATACTTATTCAATCTATACACTGAGCAAATAACCTGAGAAGCTGGGCTGTATGAAGAAGAATGTGGCATCAAAATTGGAGGAAGAATCATTAACAACCTGTGATACACTGATGACACAATTTTGCTTGCTGAAAGTGAGGATGACCTGAAGCACTTATTGATGAAGATCGAAGACTACAGTCTGCAGTATGGATTACATCTCAATTTAAAGAAAACAAAAATCCTTACAACTGGACCTATAAGCAGTACCACAATAAATGGAGAAAAATGACGAAAACCAAGGATGCATGGAAGCAATTAGGCCAAGGGACTGGTGGACCATGCAAACCTCAGCCTATGTGACCATGAGACCAGAAGAACTGGATGGGGTCCGGCTACTACTCAAGTATTTGGGAAGTGATCAATGCAGAAGATTCTGGATAGAGTGAGAGAACAATGTGGAACAAAAATAAAAATAATAATTAAAATAATTAATTATTAAGAAGCCCAGTATGATCATAATATCAATATATTACGAAATAAAGATATGTGCAGAAAAGTCATGCTTGCTAGATTTGACCATGATCAAAAAGCAGTGAATGTGCTCACGAGGCTACTAAGGGGCAGAAGGAAGCCCTGGCATGGAATGTTGGGTCAGGTGGCAGGAGACCCTGTGTGGACATTCAGCCCACTCAACAGACTGGGTGTGCACATATTTGAAACCTCACATCACATCTGAGTCTCCTTGGCTTTTTTTCTTGCTTGCTGTTTCTGAACTCACCCACATCTTCATCTTCACCATCGTCCTTTTCATGGAGTAAACATTCATCCTCATCAGTGAGAGCCTCATCTCTGATCTAGTACAAATTGGTCATGAAGAAAAAGTAGTTAACTAATTAAAATGATCAGAAAGACCTTAAAAAAAAAAAAGAAAAGTCTAAACCATGGAGAAGAAAAAGGGTCAGGATGACCAGAATCTTAGAAACTTTATAAAGGTTGTTTTAGTAGGTGGATGATGGTGAGGGGTGGGGAGTTTTAGGACAAGGAAATCCATGCTAATCTTAAATTATAGATTCCTCCCGATTTCACGAGCATGATGTAGAAATTAGGAAAAATAAACAAGAAATAGAGGATTGGCAGGAACACCGAAAAACAATGGAAATGCCAAGTGTTAAGCCACTAGCTATAAAGTAGAGGGCAGTAGTAGTGAAGAGGCATATGGAAATATAAGTATTAGCAATTTTCTTTCTTGGGAACTGCCAGTCTTCTCAGGGGAAAAATGAGATTTGATTCTACTCCGATCTATAAAAATAGGGCTCTGCTATTTGGAGTCAGACATGGAAACCTGAGCAATGCCCTGAGCTTCAGCTGACAGGTGCACAAATGCCAGGAAATGAGGCTCTCTGCCTCAGGTGGGTTGGGTTTTCAAAGACGGCCAATAATTTGTTTAAAAAAAAACTTGGCAATCTAGGTAATCTTGAGAGTAATCTATCAGAGTCCCAAGTTCTACCAATCCCTTCTCACTGTAATGACAGAGCTTAATTTCTAAATTAAGATCATGAGTAAAACCTCCAGGAACATGAGGTAAGGGCTGGTCACAAAGTGCCATTTCACAGTGAGTTTGAGGGGAGCCAAGGTTGCTGACTTTGCTACCCACTTCTGGATTCTGTAACTTTGTTTTTATTTCTAAATCCATTGTCAAGGTTCCAGAAACCCCTTTTAAGAGCTGACATGTGAAGTGAAAGCCAAATGGATAAGAGAAGTTAGGGGTCTGGATGAAAGGGAAGACTTAAAAAAAAAAAAAGCCTTCAACATATATACGTATCAAAGTAGGCACTGCACTCTCCCCTGAGCTCTAAGTGAGGAGCAAATCCAATGTGAGACTTCTAGGGATCCTTCCACTGACAGCTCCAGAAGATGTAGAGGGGGGCTGGGGCGGGTGAAACAAAGCCCTGCTGGCCTCGCCATAGGGGCACACTTGAGAGTTTGCTGCTTGTAGGATGTCCCTGGTTACCACTTTCCGTTCTTTGCCTTCAGTCAGCACCCGCTCCTCCGCCGCCAGCTGGTCAAGGATGGTTTTCTGCAGCAGTGGGGCGTTTGCCCCTCTAACCACAGCCACCAGTTCTCCACCCTAGAATACATTATACAAGTACTGGTCACACCTCAATAAATCCTCTTCTCACCTATTAATCTCTTCCAAGCTACAGCAAGAATGTTCAAGAGTTTTCTTCTGGAGTGTGCCCAAGGTCACTGTCCCTGGACCCGCTCCTAGCCTCCACTATCCACTTCCAGGCATGCTCTCACCACTGCTGCTGCCTGCTGGGATCCCTCCATGGCAGGACACCCTCAGGCCTGCCTGCCCCTAATTCTAAAATGATTTCTCTTCTTTGTTCTTCTCCCCTATGACCCTCCTTTCAAAACGTTCTTCAGGGCAATCGGGAGTTAATAAACAGGGAACAGTGCACGTAAGTTTTAAGTGACCAAGTGTGGCTTATTCACGGCTTATTCAGTCAACAACTTTTTATTGAGGACTTACTATGTGCCAAACACTAAGTCAGAGGCAAAGGATATGAATGTGAAAAGGCACTTCTCTCAATGAATGGAGAGTGGGGTATGGAGAGAGATGGACAAAGAAACAATTGCAATACAGTAAGATAATTGCTTTAACAGGGGAATGATGAGGTGCTGGGAATGCAGGCAAGGACTGATGTCCAGCTCTGTCTGGGACTGTCAGGCAAGACTTTACAGTGGAGGTGGTAACTGGGGTGAATCTGAGTCTCCTGTTTTAACTGTACTTTACCATCTGCTTCCTTACACTCACAAAGGGATGGCTCTGAAGAAGGAGAAGTTCAAGTAGAGTGGGGTCCTCCTTCCATTTCTACCCCACTCCTCAGTGAACTACCACAGAGTTAGCAATTGTAATGGAGCCTGCTGGCTGGGCACATGTTCCCACACAGCCCACTGTAACTTAGGCTGTCATCATTACAACGTCTAAGCAATCAAACCTTGTAATGATCCCATTTTCTGCAACTGACCTTTGATGTCAGTTTGACTGAAGGCATGTTCATCTCTGAACTCTTTTCCACTGTTTCTCCTTCCCTCCTTGCCTCTCCTCCTCACTCCTCTCCCATTTTATCATACAACTTCAGTCTCCCACTGAAAGCTGAAGCTCAGATAACGTTTAGTCTGCATAGATCCTAATTCATAATACTTGCTGTGCTAAGGGCAGGAAGCCAAAAGTTTTCCAATGAAAACTACCTCGGCCTGGTTACCAAGAGACCTGGGTGATTAGACCCGTTTCCCTGCTTGAACACTGAGGGGGCTCTGGAGTGATATACCATTGTCTTTTGGCCTTGCAGGTGGCCTAAACGTAGGAAGTGCAGGTGTGGCAGGGTGGGCCCTAACGGGCATGGAAGCCAGAGCATGGATGTCACACTCAAAAGCATTCAAAAAGTTTTCAAAACACTGAACTACTTTTATTTTCCCCAGTAGTCCCTCTCATTTCTGAATTTCTATAAACATATCTTCACATTTTATGATGAAATAAATATGAATACAAAGCTTGTTCACCCCTGAAGGAGCAATCATGTTTGCTAAGAGTTCCCATCTGTGTTGTTTTTGTTGTTATGTGCAGTCAAGTTGGGCCCGACTCATAGCGACCCCTCCTTGGGTTTCTGAGGCAGCATCACTGTGGAGGTAGATTGCCCCATCTTCCTTCCGAGGAGTGGCTAGTGGGTTTGAACTGCCAGCCTTCTGGTTAGCAGTCAAGTGCCTTAGGCACTACGCTACCAGAGCTCCTATCTGTGTTGCAGAGGATAGAAATCTTGAAGCCCCCATGTTCTGAGAGTGAAACTTCAGGCCAGAGTGCTCACAGAGCTAAGAAGGAGCCTGTACACTTGAGTGACTTATATTCTTTCACCATGGACATTCAGAATCAGGAAGGTTGCCCCAGCCAAGGGTGACCCTCAGGGAGCTGTGTCATCTCTCTCCCAGCCCCCACCCAACAGAGCAGTGCCCTCCCACCACCCCAATCCAAGGAGATAATGTAGGGAGGATCTATATGTAGCCAAACAATAAATAAATACTGTTAGGAGCTCTGGTAGCATAGTGCCTGAGACATTTGCCTGCTAACCAGAAGGCTGGTGGTTCAAACCCACCAGGCACTCCTTGGAAGGAAGATGGGGCAGTCTACTTCCATAGTGATATTGCCTTGGAAACCCAAGGAGGGGTCACCATGAATCAGGTCTGACAGCACATAAACAACAACAAGCATAAACGTCAGAGAAAACAACACCACTTGTTTGGAGCAACGAGGCCTCCACATGACTCCCAGGGAGAATTAATGCCAGTGAGATGCACCTATCTGAACTCTAATGATTTGCCACAGTCACATAATTCTGGTTCTGAAAATGTACTTACCGCATAAAACAGAAAAGTCGGCTCACACTTCCCTCGGTATTTTTCAAGGACATCAAGACAATCTGCCTCTGCCTAAAGAAAACCAGGTGTCAGCAGGTACCTTGGGGCTGAGTGGGCCCAGACGCACGATCAGTGGGGAGCCAGTACAGGAAAAACTGTACTGACTCCCCATCCAGGTGGCGTCCTCACTGCTCTGCCACTGTCCTTTCATTAGAAATATGTCTTTTCATCTGAGTCATAATAACTGTCCTGTGAGCATACTGCTAAAAACTGCTGACAGTGTACAGTTACAGAGAATGTGATGAGGAAATGCTTCCCCCTGCTCCCTACTCAGCTATTCTTCTGGTACAAGGAAGCTTGCCGTCTAACATCCTATTGCTGCAGGTCTGGCAACAACAGAAATGCAAGGTTCTCAAACTATGCCTTCCAGGTCTGATAAACCCACTGTACACGGACATAATGGATTCTCCATTTAAGCACTTCCTCAACACATCCTCTATGGAAACATCAAAACTGGCTCCCAAGGGTGGAACTTCAAAGTCCTTAAGGTCAAACTTCCTACGAGATCAACATAAGTTAACCTTTATTTTCTCCAGTCGCCAAGCTGTCTATGAACCTTAAACCTATACAGCATATCAGCAGTTTCCCCTGCACACTTCTCTGGATTTTTATTCCCATTTTCATAGATTAATCCAAGTGAATGTTTGCTAAAAATTCTGTCATGGAGCAGAGGAGAGAAGTCTTGAAACTCTGTGCTGCACGAGTGCAACTTCCATCAGGAATGTTTATTGAATCTAAAAGAAGCATATGCATTTGAGTGGCATGTATTCCTTCCTGGTTTACATCAAGAAGACGCCCAAGTCAAGAGTGACCATCAGGGATATGGAGGTGGATGGGAAGTGGGAATCTTCATGTTTAGAGTAATTTTAAGGCATCATGACAAATATCAACAAAAAAATTCACAAGTGATGCCTTTTTAATGACTAGGGCAGCTCACATTTCCTGTTCCTCACTGTTCAAAAATTTTTTCAATTTTCTTACAGTGTTTTGTGAGTTTTTGCTGAGAAAGAATCTTACTAATGCAAAATGCAGGAGGTCCAGGCCGGCCTCGATCCTCATCTTCTGGAAGAGGCTCACCACAGGTTTGCAGGGGCCACACCAGCCTTGATAGACGTCCACAACTGTGTGGGGCCAAGAAGCAGGAACATTCAGCAAGGCACCAGTGCCCACCATGTCAGGAAAGAGTTATACTGGCACATTTTAACTCCCTCTCAGATGGATATCTGTTTGTAGGGTTATTTAATGGTTAAAGGGATTTACTATCCCATCAAATTATGAGACAGCATGGAAACAACTGTTCCCCATTCTATGAACTCAGTATTCTGAATTGTAAACATAATGAATTAAGTATGAAATAGGAACCCTCATCCATTGCTGATGGGAATGTAAAATGATATAGTCACTATGGTAGTTCCTCAAAAAGTTGAACACAGAACTACCATATGATCCAGTCATCCTAATTCTCCCTCTCTCTCTCTCTCTCTCTCTCTCTCTCTCTATATATATATATATACTCAGAAAAAGTAAAAGCAAGAACACAAACAGAAACCTGTACATCAGTGTTAACTGCAGCATTTTTTACAATAGCCAAAAAGGTGAAGTAACTGAAACGGCCATCAACAGATGAATGGATAAACAAAATGTGAAAAAAATATAGATATACTGGAATACAACTCAGCCATAAAGAATTTCTCTTTATGTCCTGATGCATGCCACCATATGGATGAACCTTGAAAATATTTTGCTGAAGGAAATAATTCAGCCACAAAAGAACAATGCAGTATGATCCCACTTACATGAGTAAATATGTTGAAACCAAAAATTATTAGCAGTTAGCAGGGGTTGGAGGGTAATTTTTGTTTAGGGGGCAGTGAGTTTATGTCAATGGTGGTGGAATGATTTGGAAAAAGATAGCAAGAATGGCTGTACAACTTGAAAAATGTAATCAATGTCACTGAATTCTACCAGTAGAAACTGTTGAATTGGTGGGTTTTGTTGTGTATATTTTCACAATAAAAAAATAATAACTTTTTTAAAATTAAGTATGACAAAATCATTTTCTTGACATGAACACTCTACCTTACAGAGTTTTCAGACTACTGGACCACAGACTACACGAACTACAGCCTCCGCAAGCCTGAGACCAGAAGAGCTAGATGTTACCCGGCTGCCACGACTGACCACTCTGACTGGGATCACAATACAGTGTTCCAGAGGGAATGAGAGAGAAATATAGAATGAAACTCAAAGTCATAAAAGAAACCAGATTTTCTGGTCTGATAGAGACTGCTGGAACTCCTGAGCCTATGGCCATTAGACACCTTCAAACTTAGAACTGAGCCCACTCCCAGAGATCACCTTATAGCCACACAGTACAAGGCCTATAAAGTGAACACCCGTGAGGAATGCATTCCTCAAAACATTCAACTATGTGAGATCAAAAGGGCAGGATTTGCCCAAAAAGCAAAATTAAAAGGCAAGAAGGCACAGGAAAGCCGGGTGAATGGAAATGGGTAACCTAACACGGAAGTGGGGACAGTGCTAACACATTGAGGGAATGCAACTCAACCAAGGTTACAAAACAATCTATGTATACATTGTGGAATGAAAAACGAATCTGTTTTGTAAACTTTCACCTAAACCACAATAAAATGTTTCAAAAAAAAGGGTGGGCGGATTTTCAGGTTACATTCAGGGTCAGGCCTATCACAGAGTAGTAGGTCCTCAATAACAATCTGAATCATCATGAAACTATCCTTTCCAAAAGGAAAAGGTCGTTACAGATGACCTGTCAGCACACAACTGACTCTAACCTACTCTGATAATAAAGATAGCTTTAACAGCTCCCTCTGATGAACTAAAAGTCACTTATGAGCTCTGGTAGTGTAGTGCCTAAGGCACTTAACTGCTAACTAGAAGGCTGGTGGTTCAAATCCATCAGCCATTCCTTGGAAGGAAGGTTGGGCATTCTACTTCTGTAGAGATACTGCTTCAGAAACCCAAGGAGGGGTTGCTATGAGTCAGGTTTGACTCCACAGCAGTTGAGTTTTTTTTTTTTTTTTTTTTTTTAATTTAGGTAAAGTAGATTTTATTTACTCTATACAAGCCAATCCTTTTCTACTAGAAAGAATCTGATATATACCAAAACCAAGTATCAAACCCATTGCTGTCAAGTCACATCCAACTCATAGCAATCCCTCCTTGGGTTTCCGAGGCGGTATCACTATGGAAGTAGATTGCCCAACTTTTCTTCCGAGGAGTGGCTGGTGGGTTTGAACGCCAGCCTTCTGGTTAGCAATCAGGTGCCTTAGGTACCATGCCACCAGAGCTCCCCAGCTAGACAGAAACTTGGAAATCTTTTTATTCTTTGGTCCCAATCTTTTGAGTGTGGTAGGGCTGGGTGTGAGAAAATCCTCTGTTTTGACTTGACTGTAGCTAAGCCATGAGATCTGGAATTGAACTAAACAATAAACAAGCTATATACATGGGCATCTGGTCAATGCAGGACCAGCCCCGCCCCACCCTGCCAGAGAGGTGACAGCATTGTGGAACACCTGGTGCTAGAACATTACATACAGGTGTCCACATTATAGAAGAAAGATGTCTTTCAATGACCTCAACACTCACACAGTTCATGCCTAATCCACACAGGTGATGGAGGGCATTTCTGCTCAGCAGCTACAGTGACACTGTCATAGGGAGATAGTGCAGACGCCACTTACAATTTATAAGACCTATCAGTTTTAACAGCATACAATTTGCAATTTCATTTTTGGCAGATGTACATTTCAAAATTTGCACACCAGATGAGAACTATTACTATGACATGATATAAAAGATCACTATTAAAATTAGCATAAAATATGGCCGCATTGTACAACACTGTACTGAATGTACTACAGGGAAGGAAGGCTTCCCAGTGAGAGGGAGCTTTTCATTGGGCATCATGGAAAATGCCAAGCTTAGATGGGCAAGAGGGAGGCTGTGAGGGGAACCACGGGCAGCCAGACACTGGTGGGGAGTTCAGAGGCCCCAGGACCAGACCTGCCTAGAGTTGTATTATGGGAAGTGGTGGCAGAGATCATTGAAGGAGTCTGTAATGTGGACTGAATGGGTTATATCCTAATTTACTAGGCAATGAGGATTCATGGTAAATTTTAGAGAGGACATGCAACTAGTAATTATGGAACTGCAAGAGAGCATCTAGGAGTTCTGGTGGTGCAGTGATTAAGGCATTCAGCAGCTAAGTAAAAGTTGGACAATTCAAATATACCAGCGCTCTGCAAGAGAAAGGGAGCTAAGGCACTAGACTGCTAAGAAGCCTGGAGTTAAAACCCACCAGCTCCTCAGAAGGCAGTTGGACAATCTACTTCCGTAGTGATACCGCCTCGGAAACCCAAGGAGGGGTCGCTATGAGTTGGGGCCGACTCGATGGCACATAACAACAACAACAACTGCAAGAGAAGGATGAAGCAGTTTGCTTCCATAAAGATTTACAACCTTGGAAACCCTATGGAGCAGTTCTACTCTGTCCTACAGGGTCGTTATGAGTTGGAATCAATTCGATAGCAGTGGGTTTGGGTTTTAAGAGAGCATCTGCACTTTGTTTTCCTCTCAAAAAAGCCCAGTGAGAAGGGTATCCTTCCTATATGAAGGAGGAAAGTGAAGTCTAAAGTGATTAACTGACCCAGCGTGGGTTGTTTTTTTTTTTTTTTTTTCCCTTTAATGTATTAAGCAGTGAAGCCAAGCCTTGAGCTGAGTTTGATGCCACAGGTCATGCTCTTTCCATGGCCCCAGGGAAGAAGCAAGATGCACTAATTCAGGAGTGTTGGATGGTTGAGCCAAGCTGCATAGTTTTGCAGAGAGAAAGAAATGAGCTGAGTTAGGGAGAGATGTGGAAGCCAGACTTGGGTAGGAGTAAGGATGGAAGGGAATGAAAAGAAGGACCCATGAAACTTTGAAAAGGAAGTGGAAAGACTGGAGGTGAAAGCCAAGTGGGTCTAAAAAGCTCCTCCCCACACACACACACCTTTTACCCAGCAGAGAAAAAGAAGTAGGTAGAGATGAGAAGAGGGAGTTTGAGAGGAGGAGAAAAGGTAACTTGATTCTGTTGTTGTTGTTATGTGCTGTTGATTCGGACCCAATTCATAGCGATCCCTCCTTGGGTTTCTGAGGCAGTATCTCTATGGAAGTAGATTGCCCAACCTACCTGCCAAAGAGTGTCTGGTGGGTTTGAACCGCCAGCCTTCTGGTTAGCAGTCAAGTGCCTTAGGCACTATGCTACCAGAGCTTGATTCTAGGCACTGGATTTCAGCTACCCATCAGAGTATCTAAGGCAGGAAGTCCCAAAGACCACCAGACATCCTGAAAGAGAGAAAGGACAGAGGAGAAGGATTTCGCCTCATTAGCATCCAAGAGGTGCATAAGGTTTCTTTGAGGACAAAAGCTTTAAAACTGAGGGATTTGGGGACTTCAACACACCACAGTCCTGGGAGTAGAGGCCAAGGAAGACATCTGATCAAGCCAGGAAGAAGTCACTGAAGAATCAAGGGCCTACAGGACTACTGACAAGGGAAAGTTCAAGCCTCAGTGAACAACAACAACAACAAAAAAAAAAATGGGGGCCCAATTAGCTAAACATCTCCATGCAGGATTTGCATTGATCATTCACCCCAATTGTTTGTACCAGCTTGTCATCCCCTCTTATATATCCTGACTGAGTGGTGGGGACAAAGACACATTTCACAAGGTTACATGGAAGTGGGGCAGCGGGAGTTAGGAGAGATTAGAGAGGAATTATATGAAGACCTTGACTCTGACAGAGAAGACAGCTGGAAGGAATGACAGAGACAAGGGGCATGTGTGTGTGTGTGTGTGTGTGTGTAAATCAGAATAGACTTTTACATGTTTGAAGGCAGATGGAAATGAGTCAGCAGAAGCAAGACTTTGAAGATGATGGTTGGCTTCAGAGGAAATTTCTACTGGTTCCAGAGAGAGGAAAGAACACATGTTCCTTTTCCTAGAGACTGCCTGATTCCAGAGGGGGCAGAGGCAGAGCCCTTACTGCCTTCAGTCAGCAAAGGCCCATGTACTACTTAGAGTGGGCTTGGTATGGCCCTGA